GTTTGCCTGTCTATGGTGAGGAAAACCTTGGGTTCTTGAACATGTATGTTTATCAATAAAAGTCCTAACTTGAAACATTTCGCAATCTTTTATCCTCTTTGCAATCATACGCCACGTACAGTTTTTGTCAATCATACACCTTGTTTCGAAACAATCTTTGCTTGATTTGTTAACTTTTAGTTGATAGCCATCTTCCACACATTTCGTATACAAAGCTATCTTCAAGTCTTCATTTGTATCAAAACAATCATCTTTCTTGATACGAATAATTTTTGTGTAACAATCAACTGCTATTTTTACTAACTCTTTTTCCGGTATCTGAAGTAATTCTGGCATATTCCAGTTATACTCCCGTGGCATTTTCTTCGGGGACTTTTCTTCGGGGATTTCTTCTTTTTCTTTTTCTTCTTCAGGGTTATATGAATTACAAAATGGATGTTCAACATGTTCATTCACAGTCGTAACTTCCTCCTCATTATCATCAACAACATCTTCCTCGACAGTGGTTGTTTCATCATCAAAATTCGGGTATTGACCAATATCAAAATCATTACACGTAGGGTCTGTTTCTTCTTCTGAAACATCATCAAAATCCGAGTATTAACCAAGATCAAAGTCCGGGTATTGACCAAGATCAAATTTCAAATACCGACTAGTACTCACAATTTTTTTGTTGGCTCATCATCATCTAACTGGTTAATACGAAAACTGGAATTTGGTGCTAAAAGTTGATTGGGATTTGGATTAGGGAAAGGTTGTGGGTTTTGAGATTGTGTTTGGTATTGGAAATGTGGTGAAACAAAATTTACTTGGTGATGAAATTGTGGTGGAACTATTAAATTTTGAGCACCATAAACTGGGGTTGAAAAACTTAGTTGATTACTACCCGCTACTGACCCAACTTTACTACTTCTAGGTTCAACAACATACAATGTAACATCATCTTGCAAAACACTAATGTAAGCAATGAATCGTTCAACATCTTCATTGTCGGTTAACAAATAAACTTTACCTTTTCTCTGATAAGATAGCCTAAATCCACTTAAGGGCTCTAAATTCAATTTATTTGCAACACATAACATTAGAGTTTCATAAGTTAACTTTTTTAATGACAGTTTTTAGTTGAAGATTCATGGGTAAAGGCATATTGTAAAACACCATGACCATTCTCCCATGACCCTCCAAAACACAAATCTATCCAAACATGATCAACATTAGATGATTTCATTATTGTAAATTAATTTACTAAACAAACGAGCTGCGAAACTAAAACCTGTTGCCGGATGGGGAAGGATGTCGTTGGATATAGGAACGGATGTTGCTAGAGGGAGTGATAGATGGAGATGGAATGAGTTGCGATTTAGGGATTTAGGTTATGAGTTGATGCTGTTGCGTAGTAGTTATATACCAATTTGTGTTGCGAAACTAAAACCTGTTTCGAATTTGAAATTCAGTGATGCGTTAGTCAGAATCGCGTTGCGATAGTCAGAATCGCATTGCGATCACGTATTATCGCATTACGATAGTCAGAATCTCGTTGTGATAGTCAGAATCGCGTTGCGATCACGTATTATCACGTTGCGATAGTTCGAATCGCGTTGCGATAGTAAGAATCGCGTTGCGATCACGTGTTATCGCATTACGATTTATATATTTGCATTGCGATTTATATATTCGCATTGCGATTATCTAAAATCGCAACGTGGATTTCGAAAATCGCAATGCGATGGTCAAAATTGCGTTGTGAATCTGGAAACTGAATTACGATAATGGAGATCGCGTTGCGATTTTGTTGGTCATTTTGGCAAATCGTAAAACAGTTGGTTAAAATCGTATATTATAAGGAATTTTCGGTCACTGAGGTTATTTTCTCTTATTAATATATAACAATCCGATATCATAATCACACCTGAGAAGATAAAACAAACTGGATTAAACTTCTTAATAAAATAAAATAAATAGAAATAAAATACTCATTTCTTGATTAATCTTTTGATCAGAAACAGTGAGGACTGTCGCTACATAGTTTCATCTTTTGTTGCTCGAGATCGTTAGTCGTCTATTTCCTAGGATACAACAACTAGATGATCAGCTACAGTAACACAATTGTAGATATCACGAATTATTCTTAAATTCGACTATCACCAAAAAACTAAGGAGAAAAAATATTTTTCAAAAAAAATAGAAGTTCTTGAATTCTGAGATATAGAAAACTTATTCCAAAATTGTGATTAACCTAACTTGTTAACTCAATATTTATAGGAGATTTTCAAGAGAGATTTACTCCACACTACAAGAAAATATACCTTAATGACACACGAATGATGACACACGCTAATTTATGACTTGCAAAAAATGTGTGTCATAAAAAAATGTCATGCTTCTTAAAATCTAAACGATTTATGACTTACAATAATGTGTGTCATATTTAATAGTCATAATCCAAAAATTTTAGCAAAACACAGAGTACACTTTTCATTGTGTGTCATCTCTAAAAGTCGTCTTTTAATTTTCCCCCCATAATTTTAATCTTCTTTTGAATGTGCCGCGAATAATTTTGAAGCTTCTCAGGTTCAAGCTTTAGCAGATTTTAATAACAATGAGAAGTATGGATGAGGTTTGGAGGGAAATTGTATCAGGCGAGAGGAAATATATCACGATGAAAGAGGAGGAGGCAAACGAGATGATGACTTTGGAGGATTTCTTGGCGAAGTCTGGTGTTGTGGAGGAATAGGAGGAGTTTAAGTTACGTGCGGCGACACCAAGATAATAAATGCGGTGACCTTCACTATAGAGAGAGAATACCACACCGTCGGCAACATCCTTCGAATGTACGTTTCATACAATATTTTAACCCTATAAAAATTACATCCTTTTTTTTACTGATTATTGTTGGGTTAAGCGGCTTAGTGTTTTTCTTTCCCCCTTTGTTGTTAACGATGATGAACAATCAGGCAATTGCATAGAGATGAGAACGTTTTGTTTGCTGGTTACAAGCTTTCCTATCCTCTGCAGTACAAAATCCTTGTTAGGGTTAGTCTTTTTTTTTGTAGGATAGGGATAAATGCTTGTAATTTTTGAATCTATCATGTGCGTTTGTTAACCAATTTGATGCAATTTCTAGATCCACATGACCAGCCAATCTTTTCCAATACAAGCATATAATCAGGCTATCAATGACCTGGATAAGGAACTTGATCATTTGAAGAATGCATTTGAATTGCTGCATTTGTTTTGTTTTAAATTTCATAACTTATTAGTACTATTATTATAAATTTCATTTACATTGGGGAAATTGTTTCACGAAGTAATTGTGTGTCCAACTGCAATATAGTTGATACAATCTAACTTAGGATTTCATTAAGAAACTAAAGTGTTTATACCGCACTCTCCAACATTATGATGATTTCCTTATATCCCATAAAAGTTTGTTACCTTGTTGTACACTAGTTGTTAGTGTTTTTATGTCATTTTTACCCGTTAAGTTGGTTGCTTCGCATAATTAGAAAGATCTACTTAAGGTGCATTTGCAGGAACCGGTGGGAAGGGGTGCATTTCAGATACTAGATAAGATGGAGGGGTCAATTGTTGGGTTCGGAAACGGGATGGAAGTTATTGGGAGTGGAGGTGGTGAAGGGAGAGGGAAGAGGGGAAGAGGGGTTTTAGTGGAGCCGTTGGATAAAGCGGTACAACAGTGGCGAAGAATGATGATTAAGAACAGGGAATCTGTTGCCCGGTCCCGGAAAAGGAAGCATGTATACAATTGGATTAGTTCTTTTTGATTGAATTGTGTCAACTAATGGATTGTTTCTAATTTATTCTTATTCTCAATTTCGTTGTTAACTTTGTTTCACTTTCAAAATTTCCCTCAAATTTTCTGATCATGGGAAGAAATGAAGGGTTATCTGGAGGAAATTTTGGATTTTCTTCTATTTTTTAGAATCTTTAAGTGTAGCATTTGGTTTCTTATTTCTAGATTTTTGGAGACTTTACATTGCTTGGAATATTTTTTTTAGAATCTGATTTAGGAGAATCTGGAGCACTGTGCTTGAGAATGTTGAAATTTTGTGTTATTTTCATAAACTCATACAAGACTCTAAAGATGAGCCTTCAAAGTTGGTAACAAAACTTTATGTGGTATGGGTGTTTTTTTGTTTAATTAAGTGGTCTTTAACTCTTTATGGTGCTCGCGTTACAGAGTTGGCTCTTGATTTTAATACCATTTATTTCCACAACTGACTTTTATTATCTGTGAATATTTCAAATATTGCAACATATGAAATCTAGTAGGAAGGAACATTCAATGCCGTTCCAAGTAATATCAAGGTGAAATGTAGTTTAAGGTTCTTTAAGTCTTATGAATGAACACATGATTTTGTAAACTAGTGAGAGAAGTGTTGTTATTTTCATCTAGATGGACATAGTGATTTAGAAAATGGAGTTAATTCAGATAATGGGGGATCTATTGACTAAATTTGTTTGATTGTTCACGTTCACTGATTATAATTTGCCATTTGAATTCTTTGTTTTTATTGCCTTTAAACGGATGCAAGAACCTTCATTTTCTTTTTATAGATAATGAAATTAGAAGTGGAATTATTTTAGTCTGTATTCAGGTTGTCCTGCAATTGTTGAAACACCTTTGACTAAGAGTGTATTCCCTTCTGCTATCAGAGCATTAATTGCCCTACCATGAATGAATTATGAATATGGTTGGACATAAGTTAAATAGATCTCAGTTACGTGGTGTTTTACTTTGGCCCATCTTCTTTTTCCCCAAGCAAGCCGTTCTTACCTTTTCTTTTCTGTGTGGATCTATGCTTAACATTATACTAAGCAACACATGGTTGAATTGAAGTAAAAAATATGTGTTTAAATTAGGTTGTTCACTTATGTGGTTGTTGCTGTTCAGATTTATATTTTTGACTCTAGGATTATATACATTTTTTAGCTTGAATTAAAGTGTACTCTCACCTAAAATTCAAATTGCATCTAACATGTCCTTATTCTCCAGTTTCTCCCCTCTTTTACTCTTATGTATTTGGATAAATCTACCTTTTGCATTTGTCTTTTAGCTAATCTAACTATTAGTTAACTATTAAGTTTCTAAAGACTCTAAAGCAGGTTTGGAGCAAAATGAAATACCTAAGTTTGATCCATTTTCATCCAGCAGATCGCCCGTTGGCCCAAGCATTGCTAGACATGAGTATTATCTGGGAGTTGGAACACACAGGGGTAGTCAGTCTTTTGATCATGGAAACCCATCAAGTTCGGACACCCGGTCTGCTAACTCCCAATCACAAGACAAACAAATGACTCAAATTGATAATAAGAAGGCTACAACTGCAACTAAGAGAAAAAGGGTCGAGTCATCAACACCATTGGAACCAAATTTTGACGAATCTCTTAACACTGTTATTGATCCTAGGAAAGGGAAGATGAATAAGGTTGAAACATCTGACCCTGCTAACTACAACATGGTCCCAAGTAGTGGTCAAATGGAGCATTTTCCATCCTCACCTGGAAATATGAGATCGATGCATAGAAGTAGACAAGATGGTCAGAATGTAACAGAAACCCTAGATTCAACAAATGTTGGACTAACTCTTGAGATTGTATGTAGTAAATTAATTGAATAGTTTAGATATTCATTTGTTTATGTTAATTCATTGTTTTTATTCTTTTTAATTTAGATGCAAGAAACGAGAAATGAGGAAGACGAGATTGATAGAGCATTGTTGTGGAAAAAGGCAAGACAAATGAAAAAAAGGAGATTATGACCCGAATGTCCAGATTGTTGTTGATAAAATGGTAAGTTCCTGTAATTATTTAGAAAATAATTGATTTAAATGTTACCCAAGACATTATTAATTGGAAAACAGTGAGCATATAGATAATTAAATTGAAACTGGTAGATTTTTTTGTTTTCTATGATGAACTTGTGTAACCATAATGAAGTTGAGTTTCTGAGCTAATAACAAGGCTGTCATGTTTCTGAACAGTTTACAGGGTTCACTTTTAGTGTAAGAATTTAAGATTCATTGTACCTTTTGTTTTTCAATGTTATAAAATAATAATCATGTTGATTTCCTTTGTGTGCATGCAAATTATACTAACCCCATAACTTGTCCACCCATGGCTTTGCCTAGGCCCTGTGCTTTTATTTGAGATTGGTTTATTTGCTTTATGATGTAAAATGTAAGTTATATGTAAATCTCTCCTTTTTGCAGCAACTATGACCAAAATTATAAAGGAAACATTACCTCTAGATGTACATATTGCTAGAAATGCCTCGAATAGGATATTTGGATATGCTGTTATGATTCATGAGCGCCTTTCTCTTTAAATTGTTGTTTCCATATCAAGCTATGGTTTTACTAGCACTGTCTCTTTTTTTGTTATGCATGTTTTATAAGCTCATGGAATTGATAGTATTAGCAAAGTCTAGGTGCTACAGAAAAATATTATGCGCTTTTCATTAGTTCCATCTGTATTCAGATATGGTTTTATATCATGCTTTGTTATCATGAATATTTAGCCACTTTTAATGTTATTGGTGCATCTATCATTATTTCCATGTGCCTTATTGTTAATCACTTATTATTATATATCTTTTGAACATGAGAAGTGCAGCATCTGAACTTTCATTTGCGTTTTGATGTATAATAATTATATTAAGTATGTTTTATTATATTATAATTGCAAATTTTGAGTCTTTAATCTTTTTGTAGTACACTCCTGCAATTGATATGTGGAGTATAGGATGCATATTTGCTGAGATAATTACAGGAAAACCACTTTTTCCTGGAAAAAATGTGGTGCACCAATTGGATCTCATGACCGATATGCATGGCACTCCCTCTCCTGAATCTATATCAAGGGTTAGTTATCTTGTTTCTTATATTTCACTTGATTTATTTTCACTTCAACCTGACGCTGATTTCAATCTTTGTTACTGAGATTCTAATTGAGAGATTAGATACAGTTTAAAAAAATTCTCTTGTTTCTTAATATGACGTCCAAGATTGTCCTTATATAGTTTAGATACAACTTAGTAAAGTAATACTTTTTGAGTGTTTTTGTAGATCGAATCCTCATTTCAAGTTATGTAGTGCTTAAGCAAAATATAGGGGGTGGGGGTCTGGAAATTCTAACTTCCAATTGATAACAGTTGCTTCTAGCATTGCAAATAACGATATTCTTTTTTCAATCAAATAGTGGCATTGATGTTGAGTTAATCGATCGACGGAATCGACCAAAAGGGGGGTGAATTGGAAATTAAAAAGTTGGTGGAAGCTTTTGCAGAAAATTGAAAGTAATTGCACAGCGATTTAGAGTGGTTTGACTTTCTCAACCAAAGTCTACGTCCACTACCTTAGCTATCCACACTAAGGATTTTCCAACAAATTCACTAATTTGTTCTCTATTTTGAGGACTAAGAGTAACCTTACAACTCCCTCAAGAATTATACCCCAATTCTTGAGCACATTTTTTTTCAAAGAGAAATACACAAATTTGCAAACTTACAAGGAAAACCTCACAAGGCAATATGTTTGCACAATTCTAGAACAAGATAAGAACACTCAAAGATAATTACAAATGAGCACAAATTGTGTTCTTGAAAGCAAAATGAATATTGAAAGGAAATTTGGCTTGAATTGCTCAAACTTGATGTTTGATGCTTTATCTCTTGTTTCTCTATGATTTCATCTTTATTGTTGTTGATCAATGGCTTTAGAACTTGTTTAAATACTCCATCAAATGATTATGAATGTTGGGGATGGTTAGTGGAGTCAATATAGCCGTTTAAGTGTGAAAACAATTAATTAAATCAGTTGGGAGCGTCAGTGCATCGATGCATACCCATGGTGCATCAAGTGTAAAATTCAAATATTTTGATCGTTGGACCCTTAGTGCATTGGTGCACTAAGAGTGCATCGATGCATAAAATGCATTCGATGTTTCAAAATAGCCTGAGTGCATCGATGCATGGTTGGTGTATCGATGCATCAAATGCATTCGATGTTTTCATAAAACTCTGAGTGCATCGATGCATAGTATGTGCATCGATGCATGAAATGCATTTGATGTTCAATTTATTCCATGGTGCATCGATGCATGGATTGGTGCATCGGTGCATCACTCTGAAAAATTTATTTTAGGCTTGATTTTGGTTCAAAATACTTTGTGAATTTTTTTTTCAAAAATATATTAATTATAAAACATAATTTTACACATTTAGTAAGGTTTGAAATTGATCTTGAAAACTTGGAGTAATAATTTGATATTCGAGTAATTAAATCGAATATACTTATAAAATCATTGTAAAATCTTAAAATTCATTTACTTAATTGTTATATCAAAACATCAAATGTTTTCAACATCTCCCCCTTTTGATATAACAAAACATGTGTGTAATTTTAAGATTTCTTTGAAAATAAATTTTGAAAAATTAAGTTTGAAATTAATTCCCCTTACTTTAACACTTCTCCCCTTTAAAACATTTTAACACTTAACACTTCTCCCTCTTTTTGTTAAATCAAAAAGACTTAAAAATTGATTTAAACAAGGTTTTGGAAAACATAGCCAATTGATTAAATATATATATATAGCTTAAGCTACTAAGATCAAAGATCAAAAGAGAGATTAGCCATTAGTTTCATAATCAATATTCATAATCAAATGTGAAATGGAATAATTGGTCATAATGAACTAATATGATGCAAAAAATAAGAAACATTAAGCTCAAAATAATAAGTTAAAATCAAACCAATACATAAATAAGTTCACGACTCTAAGAAAGATCGAAAATATGGTGGCGTTTGATCTTCTTATCGTGCTGGTTCCAGTACAGGCTCATCGTCTGGTACATGATCGTCGATATCTTGCATGAGCTGCTGAAATTCTGGATCATCGTCAGCAGACGGTTCCGGAGGAAGAGGAGGAGCACGAGAAGAGCTAGGAGTAGCTCGTGAAGAACTCACTCCCGGAGTTTGCTTATCGGGTCGAAAGACCCAAAGATCGGTTACCTCGTCTTATTTCCAATCGACTTTCTTCAACGAGATGATATTGATTGGGTTTCGAAGAGGAATAGGATTGTCAAGAGAGATGTTTAAACCAAGTTTGATAAAAAAGGTTACTAAGAAGACATCTATAAACTAATGTTTCGACATGTTTTGAAGGAACAATGTTTATGATATCCACTAGTTGACTAAAAATAATGTGGGGAATATTTATTTTGATTTTATTCTTGAGACAGTGCATCCACCATAAATCCCTAGCACGAAGAGTGGAGTACCTACCTCCGGATGGTTTAAACCACCAAGAGATCATCAAATGAAGAAAACAATCGTGATGAGAACGTAGAGTACTAACATTAGCGTTTGGAACATAGGGATATTCCACAGTTTCATTCTCATTATATAACCCATCATCATCTAGCCCAAAACGGAAAGCTATAGTCTCGGGGTCACTATTAATATATTGGCCTAAAAGATAGGATTTAATTGCTATAGTCCCACATTGAGTTTGGTTTTGAATACATACCGCATTAGAGTAGAAAATGCGGACTAACTGATGATAGATGATAGGTTTGAGGTGAAACATTTTATCGAACTTCCAAGTTTTAAGAATCGGAAGGTATGAAGAATACGCTCTTCCCGGATTCTATAGGATTGGAAAGAATTTCTATACCTAGAGTACAATTCGTCTCTATGACGTTCAGGCATATTAAAACAAGATCCTATAAGAGATGTAGGTGGAGGAGGAACAGGATTAGAAGGTTGGTTTGAACGAGAACGACTCGATGAAGTTCTAGGGCGTTTGGGATTAGACATGGTTTAGGAATCAGAAAAGGAATGAAACCTGCAAATTGAAACACATGTATGCAATTTAATCAATCCTAAAACTCAATTGAGTCCTCAATAATTCAAGGTTCTCTAAACCGAATCCTAATGGGTAAGGTTTTGAAAACTATTTGAAAATAATTTTTGAAAAATCATAATATGTATAGTTTTCATGAAAACAACATAATTAAATCAAAAACATCAAATTTAAAAATTAAATTCAGATTTTCGATTTTTTTTAATTTCGAAAATTCAAAAATTCTTTGAAAATTTGTGAGTTTCTGATGAAATTTGTTGTAAAATCTAGTTTGAAATCATCAAACAATCAATGCCCGATATAATGTTCATCCTAGAACTAATTAAGACTAGTCCTAAGATCAAAATATGATAAACTAGAAGATTTTAGAAAAATACCTTGAAAATTTCGGATTGATGAGAATGAGATGTTGTGTTGCACGATTTAATGATAGTAACAGGATATTGAGATGAAAAGCTCGAAGATTCCGACAAATTTTCATTGATTTTGAGCAAATGGAGATTTAGAGAGAGAGAGGTGGCAAGGGAGTATTTTTTAGGGTTTTGAAACAAAGAAGAGAATCAGGTTTTTTAACCAAAACCTGATGGATACATCGATGCATGGCCTTGTGCATCGATGCACATTCAAGGCGTGCATCGGTGCACCTTCATGGTGTATCGATGCACATTCAAAGGGATGCATCGATGCACTGTTAAGTGTATTGATGCATGAAGCACAAAAATAACAAAAAATCATTTTAAACACTCAAAAATGCTAAATTAATTAGCTCTAGTGGTATTGGCAACTCATATATTGAAAATTAATCATGTTAAATCAATCAAATTAATCCTTAAACAGCATTGGAACATAAAATTAATTTTCACCAAAGAACATAAACTCCCCCTAACTAATAGCAATGAATGCAATAAAAAATTACTATTGTAAGCATTTTTCATTTATTCTTAAAAATGTTAAAATTATTTTAAACACTAAGTGAGGATAGGCCAGTTAAACCTAATTCTCTCCTAAGTGTCCAAAATCTTTTTTTGTCTAAAGGTTTTGTAAAGATATCCGCTAATTGATGCAAAGTATCAACAAATTCTAGAACTATATCTTCCTTAGCAGCATGGTCTCTAATGAAGTGATGTCTTATTTCAATATGCTTAGTTCTAGAGTGTTGGATGGGATTTTTAGTGAGACAAATAGCACTAGTATTGTTACACTTGATAGAAATGGTACCTACTTCAATTCCATAGTCAAAAAGTTATTGTTTCATCCATAAAACTTGTGCACAACAACTACCGGTTGAAATATATTCCGCTTCAGTGGTAGATAATGCAACACAATTTTGTTTCTTTGAAAACCAAGAAATCAACATATTTTCAAGGAACTGGCAAGTATCAGAGGTGATTTTCCTATCTAATTTGCATCCTCCATAATCCGCATCAGAGAAGGCATGCAAGCTAAAGCTAGAGTCTCTAGGATACCAAAGTCCTAAACTAGGAGTGTCCTTAAGGTATCTAAAGATTCTCTTAACAGCTAGTAAATGTGATTCCTTAGGGAATGATTGAAATCTAGCACATAAGCAAACACTAAACATAATGTCCGGTCTACTTGCAGTTAGATAAAGTAAAGAGCCAATCATTGACCTATATAATTTAACATCCACACATTTACCTCCTTCATCTATGTCAAGCTTTGTTGATGAGCTCATTGAAGTGTTATGAGGTTTCCCATTTTCCAGTCCAAACTTCTTGAGCATATCTTTGACGTACTTAGCTTGATTGATAAGATGTCATCTTTTCTTTGCTTGATTTGGAGTCCCAAGAAAAATGAGAGCTCCCTCATCATGCTCATCTCAAATTCACTTTGCATTAGCTTAGAAAATTCTTGGCAAAGAAAATCATTAGTAGAACCAAATATTATATCATCAACATAAATTTGAACTACTAATAAATCTTTACCTTTTTGCTTTAAAAATAATATAGTGTCAACCTTCCATTTTGAAAAATATTTTTCAATTAA